GGCTCTCACTGCCAGGGTGACTCCTGGGTTGCATACCTGGACAGACTGGCAAGCATCCCAACCCTACTTTTTCCCCTCCCCTCCCCTCCTCTCTGATCCTATCCATGGGTGAATTCCAATGGGTTCTTGCTGATTCTGATTCTCATGGCACAGGCACTTGCTGTATTGGCCACCCAGGGCAATCCCCAACCTATTTCCCAGTCTGTCCAGCCCCACGAGCACAGGCACTGCCCCTGGTGCTACCAGCCAAGCCATGGACCCACAAAGGATCCCCCCACCCCTTCCTCTGCTGGAAGGTCAGGTGCCTGCCCCCCACCTCTCTTGCCCTGCCACAGCCCTGTCACCCAGACAGCTTCCCCCAATACCAGCAGGCACCTACCCCACCTCACACACCCATCCTCTCCACACACACACATACAGACACAGAGCTCCCTGGACAGTCCCCAAACTCTGGACCTCTAACCCCTGCACTCTACAGGCTTACCTGTATCCAGCTGCCGGGACTGCTCCCACCACCTTCTCTGGCTGCATGCCAGCCACGTGCACCCGCTGCCTCCAATCACCCTCCTCCTGCTCCCACCAGTGGACAGGATCAAAATCTCAGACATTTGTTCAAATTTCAAAAAAATGCCCAGATGGAGATTGGATGGTCTAAAAAGGGAACATGTCCAGGAAAACCTGGATGTATGGAAAGCCTAGTCAAATACCTGCTAAGCAAAGCCCCCCAAGTGGTTCTGGCCAGACCTGAAGGGGTGCAGAAGCACTCAAAGCAGGGCAGAAAGGGCAGCCTACCAGCTCACCAGGCCAGATGGTTGCTAGGGCAGCTTCTGGCAGCAGAGTCTGGTGACCTCAGCTCATCCACTCTCCACCATGAAGCCTGGGAGTTCCACTCCCTGTGTCCCCACTCATGGCCTGGGTCCCACTGCAGGGGGGTGGTGTAGCCTTGGCAGGAATTGCTTACACCTTGGCTTGGACTAGCTGCCTGATATGAGTCCAGGGCATCAGGGAGGCCTGTGGGTCTGTGGTCCTTGAAGGGGAAGACATGGCCTTGGAAGCCAAGGGGCAAGAAGTCCTGTATGGGAGGGCCAGCAGTCTTCAGTGTCCCCTGTAGCAATGATTCCTGGCCTACAGCTCTCTCAGACAGTCATTGGGACCAAGATCACACAGCTATCCAGCTCTTACATGGAGAAGTCCCTGGTCTTGATTCCAGACCTGTGAAAGTAGGATGCCAGGTCAAAAGCCCCTGGCCCCATCCCCCCTCCAAGGTTTCATGTTTGTTGAGTTCAGGCCCTGCAGTGTTCTACCTGACCCCAAACCCCCTTCAAGTTTCTGTTGCCCCGTTATCAACCCCCCTCCTGCCAAAACCCACTACCGCCAAAGGTTTGCTGTTTTGTGTGAATTAGGAGGAGGGACCAGGCTGAGACATGGACAATGTTCAACGGGCTTTCTTTATTAAACACAGGAAAAATCTGGCAACCACAACATTTTAAACTGAGGTACATATCTTCCTCATGCCACATTCCTCTGCACCCCAGTGCGTGCCCCTGGGGGTGAGGATCGGGGAGGGAGAGAAGGGGAATGGTGCCCAGGCAGCCTGGGCTGTGATGTGGGGCCAAAGGAGCCCAGGAAAGGTGACCCAGGCCTGGTGCTAGGGTGTGGGCACTGAAAGCCCTCCAGCCCTACTCATCCATGGAGGGCTCCTGGTCTATGTGGGTAAGAAGGTAGTCAGCCAGGGCTTCATGGATCCGAACAGCCTGCTACTGTGTTGGTCCAGAGCCAACAACATGGTCAGAGGGATCACCCTCTCCCACATCCCTGCATTGCGTTGTGTGTGCTCATGGTGCCAGGCCTGGTCCCTTGCTGAAGTGCTCCTTCTGACGGTTCAGCTGCCCCCTATAGGTCTTCATGAGCCAGGGCAGGAGGGGATAGACCAGGCCCCCAATGAGGATTGGGGGATGATGACATCACTTATGATGAGATCAGGGGCTCCAGAAGCATAGTGCCCGCTCTCCAGCACCCCAAGGAACAGGGAGTTGTGCATGAGGTGGGCACTGTCCTCATTGGCTGCTTGGAAGTCAGTGGCTCAGTCATGACCTGGATGCCTGGGTTCTGTGTGTGTGTGTGGGGGGGGAAGGGGTGCATACACGCAGAACCCAGACATCATGTACACTCACACACATGCACACAGAACCCAAGTATCTGGGGGACACACAGACAGATCCCAGGTGTCTGGGATACACACACACAGACACATACACACACACACACACACACAGGAGGTGCAGGGTGCACTGGGTGGGCATGCCCAGGATGGCTGGCTGATGGCTCATGGCCATGATGAGCCACTGCTGCATCTGGTCCAGGTGGGGGCTGTGATGTCCCCACCAGCCAACCGGAGTGGCTTGGCCATTTGGCTCTCCTTGGGAGTCCTCAGCAATCCAGGGAGCCCGCAGGACACACTGGGAGGTGTGTGAGAGGCGGCCCCCTACCTGCTGCAACTGGGTCATGCAGGCAGGCCCCAACCCCTCTGCCCCCTAAGGGCTAATGTGTTCTTCTTTCTCCCAATCTAAATAGGGGCACTTAGAGTAAAGTTCAAAAGTTATAGCACGTCCATTGCAGGCTTCTTGAATGCCTGTACTGAGCCTAAATTTTTAGTTTAGTTTAATATAGTTTCAGCCAACACAATCACTCAAATGAGGTCTAGGTAATCTAAAAGAATAACACAACCCCTCAACCATAAACGTTGTGCATGCTGAATTCAGTGATAGCTCACTTTATGAATCTTAATAATAAGGACAAGGTCAAGAATGGAGGAAATTGGCTTAGTACTTTTGAGACCAGAGTTTAAAAAGTTCAGGCTTATTCTGTAGGATTTTCTGTTAGACTTCTTTGCTCTGCTCACACTAACTCTTAAGGCAGACAAGGTTCTTTGAGTAAATCTGAAATCTTTTATTAGACCAACCCAAATAGTTGGAAAAATTCTTCTTAGCAACACTTAACACACTCAGCATGCCCATAGTTAGCAGCCTGCTATTAGATGGAAGCTGACTATGCCTTTACATACTTTAAACACTGTGAAGAAAAATAGCTTCATTTAAACTTCTAAAACTTCAAGAAGTCTAGCAAGCTTCATTATGAGGAAGATGACTAGGTCTAGGCTATATGATCTAATGACATATAGGAAACATCTAAGGTGCAAGATTCCTGTTTCTTATTCCTCTTCAAATAGCTGGTTAATTAATTCTGCCCAGTGATCATTTGTGATTGTGAAGGGCCATGATTATATCTTCATTTGAGACAGTTTGTGCTCTAAGGAATGCTGGCATGAAGCAATATTCTGAGGATTTGAAGAAAGGGGATGCTTGGCCACCTTGGTCATCTTAAGAGTTACCGAACCTTTCAGTATCTGGGCTACCTGGTTCAGCCTCTTCTGCTATAACACACAGGCTACTGTCAGGATCCATTGAAGTACTAGCAGCAGTAGAGCTGTCAGAGGAACCTCTATTGAAATAGGCTAATTTTGTACTGAAATTAACCTTGATGGGAGACAAGGAAAGATGAGGGCAACCACATTTAAAAGCTGTCCATCAGAGATTTGATATGCTTATTGTCACATTATTTCTTATTGCCTTTGACAACTCTAATTCACCCAAGACTTAAATATAAGGCATTTCTATTTCTTGCTTATTTGCTGATACTAATATCTTGGGAATATTAACACCTACATGCCTGCAACTTGTTACTAAAAATATGCCTACATACTTAAAAACATTGATGTTATTCAGCTGTGTTGAATTCATTATTCAGAGGGTCAAATTCCAGGCTTTTGTAGCATTATTTGTTAAGCAATTGTAACTTATGGATTCCTATACATGTGCAGTGAGGCTGTTTCGACATAGTGTAGTTGGAGCAGACTCGATTAATCGAGTCTGCTGGAGCGTAGTAGTTACCGTGCTCCAGCAGACTCTAGCATCATGTGTATCAGCATCCCTGCACTGAAAATGGTGGTGTGGGTACTTTAACTAAATATCATTCGACAAGCTTTAGATAAAGTGCCCCTGCTGCCATTTTTCACAGCAGGGATGCTGATACATGTGACGCTCCAAGCACTTTAATTCGAGCAGCTCTTAGTCTTTGCAGTATGAAAAAGATATAAATATTGATACAGTAATGTTTAAATACAAGCAAACAGACAAAGGATTTTCATTTAAGGCAATGCTGTTAATATCCGTATTAGAGGGGCATAGTTGGTATATCTGAGATATAGCAACTGTATAATTAAGGGTTGTTGGACAGACCTGAGGACAGATACTTGTTGCCTGAAAACTTGTCCAACAGCTCTCCCAACTATACAGTTGGTTCAATAAAAGACATAAAAAAGACTTGCCTCTTGAACACTTCTTAGACCATTATGGCTACAACAATACTCCAACCCTACTAAGCATATTAGAAAACTTAATTTGTTACCTTGCCATCTTAAATTTCACTGTAATATAAGATAGCTCTATAGATTTTTTGTAGAGATTTGGGATTAAGTTTCTGAAATTGGCTGTCTAAATCTAGGAACCTAATTCCAGATCCAGGCACCTGTTTAAAAATTGCTTGTTTATAGATCCTGAGAACTTCCAACAGCTATGGAAGTGGGACTATAGTTATGCACTACTCCTCAAAATCATACCTTTTTATTTATGGAGATTTAGGGACCTGACTTCAGACACCCATGCTTATAAAAATTAAATTTTCAACTGATATTTCATCCTCCTCCTTTTTACTGAATTATGTATTTCTATAAATCTTTACTTTCTGATGGGTCTACCATGTGGCTAAAGGTGATTTCATTTGAAATATATCAAGCCAATTCACAAGTCAGATAGACTGCTACAGAAAGAGATACCAAATTTGGGATACAAACCCAGTGTCACACAGTACTAATCAGAGCCACCTGAACAGCTCATGAGGCCATGGAAATCTTTGGAACAAAACATTGAGTAGCAACTTACCATGTTCATCCAGCAGTATGTTGTCAGGTTTGATATCCCTGTAAAATAAGAAATGGAAATGCATTATATATGTATGAAATGGATGCTTGCAAATTCTGAAGTGTCTTTTCCCTGCATAATAGAGCTAGATTGGTGAAATTATACATTCAAAGGAAAGCAGTATACAAAAGTAAATGATCTTTTTACTAGCTTGTCAGGGCACATCCAGATAAGCACAGATGTGCAGTATGCAATGCTGCAGACCCATCTGCATGTGTGCCACACATGCTGCACATGCAGGCACTCCCAGTGCTGCTAGTTTGCAGTGCAGGGTTGGGGGTTAGCAATTGGGAGATCCCAGTGTCAAAAAAACCCATTTTCTGTTAGAAAAGTGGGGTGGTGCACGTCACTGGAAACCAGAGCCTGGCTGGCTGGAGCCATGCTCTGGCTGCTGGCCAGGCTCTATGCTGCTGGATTGCCATAGCTGCAGCTTTGGAGGTCCCAGGGAAGGCTGCTGGGGCCAGCACAGATGCTGGATCCTACCTGGGGTAACATGTCGCAAGCCAGAGCACATGTGCATGGGTGTTTCCCCGGCACAAGCAGCAGCAGCACATATTTTGCTGCTGCTGTTTGTCCCCAGGAAAACACACATTTCTGCTCATGGGGATGCACCCATAAACATGAATGCTGAAGTACATTTGAGGTGTTTTTGTTTTCACATGGTTACCACCCAAAAAAACTATTTTACAAGATTATGTCCAGGCTGGGAATGAAGAGTAGAGAGAGAAGTATTGCATTTCTTTGCTGTGGGTAGTCCATATTTGATAGATGTGATCAAGGCAGATATAAGTTGGAAGTATTACCATAACATATAAGTGATCCCTCTTGCATTTCTTATAGACTTCACATATCCCTCCCCCCATGGTCATTTATGTTTCAAAAGTTCACAGAGTTTTGTGAATCACCTTATGCTACCTTGAATGCTAACTCCCCTCAAAATCTTAACTTGCCACCGCAATCACAAACCTTTCTACGTGGTTGGCTATGCCAGGGGAGCAGGCAGATGAAGTGTGTGAGGAAGCCTGGAATAAGAGGACCAGGATCATACTTGCAGACTTGAATGGTAAGAGGTATCAGCATTTAAACAGTTCCCTCAAACTGCAGTTCTTCCTAGCACATGGAAACAACTTCACTAAGGATAATCTTCTTATTGCCTAGGCAGAGATACTGGGCATTCCCACTAAATGAGCAGCTGCCTTGAATTGAATTAAGATTTGTTTCAAAGAACAGAATCATAGAACAAGAGGGCCAGAAGAGATCTCTTGCGGTCATCTTGTCCAAGCCCCTGGCTAAAGACAGGATCATCCCTGACTCAACCATCTGAGTCTGTCTAATCTGCTCTTAAAAACTTCTAAGCATAGACATTCCACAACTTTTCTAAGCAGCCTTTTCCAATGTTTAACCACCCTCATAGCGAGAAAGTTCTTCCTAATATCTATCCTCAAATTAAGAACAGTGCTCCTTGCCCTGCCCCCCTGTGGACATAAAGAATTGTCTATCTCCATCCCCCATTTAATTAACCTCCAGGCATTTGATGACTGATATCAAACCCCTCCTCAGTTTTTCCCTTCTCTAGACTAAATAATCCTACTTCTTTCACCCTTTCTTTCTAAGTGATGCTTACCATATTTCTAATAATTTTTGTTGCTCTCCACTGGGTTCTTTCTAATTTGTATATAACTGTCTTGAAGTGTGGGGCCCACACAGTACTGCACGTGTGGCCTCACCAGTGGCAAATATAGTGATAAGACCACTTCCTTTGATTGGTAAGGCATTCTTCTAGCCCAATATCCTATTTTCACAATAAGAGCACACTGCTGTCTCATATTCAGCTTATGGTCCACTATGACTTCTTTGTCCCTTCTGGCAGTACTGCAGCCTAGCAAGTGCATATTTGTAGAACTTTGCACTTTTCTATGTTGAATTTGATCTGATTGATTGATTTTGGACCATTTTTTCAGTTTATCCAGGTCATTCTAGATCCTAATCCTGCACTCCAGAGTGTCTGCAACTCCACCCAACTTGGTGGCCATTCAGTCCCTTCTTCCACATCAGGGCTGTACAACTGCTAGTGTACGGGCTTCATGAAGCCTGCAAGGGATTAAATTGGGGCTTCCAGGCTCCGTCCCAGCTTCTGTTCCCCCAACTGCTCTGGCTACAACTCCAGGTGGAACCTCCTTCCCTCCTCTGGCTGCTGATTCCTGCCTCTGCCACAGGGAATGAAGAGTAGAGAGAGAAGTATTGCAGTTAGGCCAGTGCAACATGCTCTGTGGGGAGCTGAAAGTGAGCCCAGGGCCATGCATGGGGGGGCAGCAATCTGGGCTGTGTGATGCAGTGGTGGGAGGTGCCTGCTTTAGCATTTGGGGGTTGGGGTGTGGTACAGTGAGAGGACAGGGAGACCATCCATGTGGCAAGCAGCCCAGCCACCTGCTCCTTACTTAGTACAGCTCCCAGGACTTGTGGTCCCAGGGAGCTTACAAGCTGGACAGCCCTGCTTGTAATCATTAATGAAGGTATTAAAAAAAAGCTGGGTCCAGGGTAGTTCCCCTTGAGAACTCCACTTGATACCTCCTCCAAATTAGACATTGAACCACTGATGCCTACATGATGATCCAGCCAGTTCTGTATCCACCTTATGGTACTTTTGTCCAAAGGTGCTTATACACTGGGTGGGAGGAAGTAGTCCTTAGGGTTGCATTCTATGTCCCCTAAATTAAAACGGTGGGTTTTGAATTGAAACCCACCATTTGAATTTAGCGGATTGTGTCCCTGTTATGGTGAGGGGCCTGATCCCCCTTTTTTTTTCTTCCCAGCAGAGACTGCCCACCTCCCCTGTGGCCAGAAGTGAGCTGAACAATAGCTGCAATGCATCACTGCCAACTAAACTACATCCTGATGTAGTTGGCAACAATGCAAACTCATTTAAACCCCCAAAACTCCTGCATATGTACGGCATGATGCCATTAAGCCACACAAAGTGAAATTTTTGTCACATGTACATGGTAATGGCATCATGTGTACAAGTGCCCCACATCTGTAATTCCTTATTGTTAGACCCCGACTCTATGTGGTGCCCAACGACTAGGGAGAGGACAGTCCAATCGCTCATGGATCCTGTTACTCATTAGCCAGAGCAAGCAGGGAGCAAACACTACTTGCACACATTGCTCACAACAGCTTTATTCAGAATGGAGACAGCTTTGACTAGCTCCCAAAAAACCAACAAACCAGGGAACCACACTGAACATTAGTTCTTTTTACATTTTATACACCTTGGTTCATACATATTAACATTTGTTCCACACTGTCCCTCCTTCTGTTCCACCCATTTCTCCTATCTTGAGCTCTGCCTCTGTTTACTGTTTACTTCATTACCATGGAATTGCCTATGCATTTCATGCATTTACATGCCTCTCTGCTAAGAGCACATGAGCAAGACTGACCTCCGCTTCTCTCGGTCACTTGTTGGTTCTTTCTGGTTTCTTGCTGACTCCTTCTTCATCTCCAAGGTCTTGCTTCTGCTTTATCTCCTGACGATAGCAGGTAGGCTGCATCTTGTTCTACTTACACAATGGGCTCTAACACTATGACCTTGTTAGAAAACTGTTTTCATAAGCATTTTCAAGGTTATTTTTAATATATCATTCTGCCTTGTGACCAGCAGCTTTTGCTGAGACACAGATTAAAGCCTTGTTCCAGCTGCAGATCCAATGCTTCCCAAAATCCACATATTATTATTACCCTAACACTTATCTTGTTAATGAGAACAGTGTGGTAGACATTGTCAAAAGTCTTGCTGAAATCAAGGTATATCAACCCTTGATCTCAATCCACTACTCTTCCCCTATCTACAGAGCCTGTTACCTTGTCATAGAAGGAAATCAAGATGGTCAGGCATGGCTTCCTCTTGATTAATCTGTTTTCATAGTTCCTGATCACCTCTTCCAGGTGCTTAGAAATAGATTCCTTGATGACTTGCTCTATAATCTTTTCTGGTATTGAGGTCAGACTAAGCAGTCTGTAATTTTATGTAACCTCCTCCTTCTCTTTCTTAAAGATGGGGTCTATATTTGCCCCTTTCCAGCATCTTATCTGATCTCCATGAGTTCTCAGACATGAGGGTCAATGATTCTGAAATTATCTCAGCTAACTCCTTCAGTACTCTAGGGTACATCCTGTCTAGCCCTGCCAACTTGAAAATAACCAGCTTCTCTAAATGATCCCTAGCCTGGTCTTTTACTACTGTAGGGTGCTTATCTACTTTCCTATACTTGTTGCCAACTGCGCTCATCTGGTAGCTGACCTTATTTGAGAAGACTGAAGTAAAAACGTCATTAAATATCTCAGCTGTCTCTGCATCATTCTTCTGCATTCAGTTTTGTAGTTTTCCTCTTATTTCTGGCATATATTTTAAATAATTTTTATTGCCTTTTACATCTCTTGCTAGTTGCATCTCAAGTTATGCCTTGTCCTTGATTTTCTCCCAGCATGCTTGTTCAATAATCTTAAACCCTGCCGTATGGTAAGAGATACTCTTCAATGGGCACGTCTACATGTTCACTTTAATACATGTCCACTGTGCATTAAAGCATCACATAAAAAGTGTGATTACGCTAATGCATAATAAAACAGGCTGCTGCGCATTAAGCATCACTTAAAAACCATGTGCATTCATTACTGTGCATTTGTTTAGTACGTTGGGCACTTTTACATGTACTCCGGGGGTGGAGGGGCAGCGCTTTAATTAAAGCACTGCAGTGACCATTCAATGACCTTTAGTTCAAGTGCCCCTGCCACCATTTTGAAGCACAGGAATGCTGATACGCAAGATGCAGGAAGCTGCTGGAGCGTGGTAATTACCATGATCCAGCACTCAATTAATTACCGATGAATCGAGTTTGCTCTGACACGCTGTAATTACATTCACTTACTATAAGGAAAGATCATTCCCAGGTCTGGGAAAGAAGATTTATCTGTAGCTACTTTAAATACTTTCCTT